TTAACTACGGTAAGCAGAATTTGGTGTTCAGAAGTAGAGCTGCCCTAAACATGGGCTTTTAGGTTGAGGTACTATAGAACAAATGTCTCCATTGTTTCATTGAGTGAACATGTAGTGAGTCTGTTTTAAGTGTAGTATATTTTGTTTTACTGAAAATCTTTAAAAGAAAATACCACTAGAACTTTGTAACCAACCATAGTTAAACTCTGGGTTAAAGGAAAACTAACAATAAATCAAGTTGTACTGTGTGCTATAAATAGATGCAATGTGGCATGTTTTTTTTTTTAATATAATTTGTAGATGTTTCTCTTTTTTAGATAAATATTGTTAAATAGCTGTTAACTGTTCCTCTACAGCTGCCTGAGTCTATCAAACATTATTTAGATACATCTTGCAGCTCTAAGTGTGCTGGAATCTTCATGCCTAAGGTAAGAAGACCTAACTATGAGCATAAATATGGGTGTATATTTAAGATTATCAGATGTCCGGCAAAAGGAGGACACATTCTCCTTTTTGAGGTCATATTCTACGTTCATAAGGCATTGGGATAAATGTGAAAATGCCCAGCTCCTTATCTGTCATTAATTATTTTGTTTGATATCGAATAAGATAAATAACTTTTACATTATTGGTAGATGATATAGTTTTAATGAAGGAGTTCTTCCCCTTAAGATAAGCTTTGTTTTTTAAATAGGACATTTTATATTTTGTTTTCTTTCGTCCTCCTTTGTTGGGCTGTGTCGTCCTCTTAATGTGCTGGTTTATGAAACCGTGACTAATAATTTAATACTTTACAAATCATTGTCTGTGACATGATTGATCCATGTTGGGATCCTATTCAAACAAACAATGAAAGTAGTTTGAGCCTAACATGCCATTCTTCTTCCTTGAAACAGGTTATGGTGTGATGTAGCCGGTCGTTCCCTTGTTATATTATGATACGAACAGACAACTTAACCGCTGTAGGATTATTATATTTTAAATTTTAAAACTTGAAATAAGTTGAATAACTTCTTTGTGAACAATATTATATAAAACTTTTATTACAATATGCACATACTCCTCTTGAGATAAAATGAAATAAACGTATGGGAAAGGACCAATGGCGAACGCTTTTGTGCCAGTTTTTAGTTTAGAATTTTTAACTCCGCAATGGTTAAAGTTATTAAAAAAAATGAAAATATCTGCGGACTCCTCAGCTATTGGGCGATAAAACTAAATTTGACTCTTTTTTCCATATCAGCTATTAAATTTATAATTCAAGTCAACTTACGGTAGGGGTCGGACCTAATCAGCGAACGCAATTTTCGCGGGAGTCATAATGAGCGAAAGGCCGTAAAAAATAGCGAAATAGCATGTTGAAATATAGGAAAGTATGCTTCAAATAGCTCTATCATCTAACTTCTTCCATGAAGCATTATAACTATTGTCCTCCTTGTGGCATTAGGCCTAATTTTTAAAAAATATTCTTGTGCTCCACATCTACTTTCTCTGCTTGGAACATGATGTCTATATAGCCTACGAAACTTGCGATCAAATATTTTTTTTAAAGAAAGAAACTACAAAATTCTATCTCGCCTCCTCCCTATAGGCTAGTCCACGTCATTTTACTCTCCATTTAATAAACTCTCGTTACTGCGACTATTTTTTTTAAGAACACATGTTCAGTGCACTTAATCATCATCAACTCGATCTCCCCCACACACGCACACACATACACACACGCGCGCTGATTGACCCAAAGGCAGATCCCGAAAGCGATGGATTGATGATGTATGGGCGGCAGATCTACAACAGCTTGGGTTTCGGGCATGGAGACGAAAGGCTCAGGAGAGATCTTGTAATTTTATACATGTATTTATGTATATTATTTGATTATTCTTATATTTATTACTAAATATATAGTTCGCCTTTTTTCCGCTCCTGAAATCGAATATTTTCTCTTGGAAACCTCCTGAAATCCTAATCTCAGAATGGTTTGGGAACCCTGTGAAAATGAATTCTGATCTTTTAAACATATATACACATATTAATATCATTAATTAGTAACAAGTGGTTAATCAGCCAGTTAAAAAAATGAGGACGGCAAAACAGAGGTCCCCCCCCCCCCCCCCCCCCCGTAAAAGCCGTATAGGCCTAAGCGCTGTTAAGATCAACTGTTGCGTCATTTCACCCTCAATGGCACAGAGGAAAGTAACTGCCAACATATGACCTTTGAGAGACTTGTAGAGCTGCGAGTCAAACATTTTAGACGGAAAGAAAATGCGGGAAAATATGCTGGTCGTAACTGGGCGTAGTCATGTGAAACACACAATGCACTCATCCTTAATCTTCGAAATCGAAGACATTGGGTTAAGGTTAAAAATAGGCCTATTATTTTAATATTTCAGTTTACAAACAATAACAATAGATAAGACAAAAAGAAAAACAGATGAAATCAGTCACTAAATGGCTTTTTAAGCTTATTATAGGGGCTTTCGCTGAATAGGTTTTCAGTTAAAAAGGTCATTTTGAGCAAACACCCCATAATATATATTTTTTCAACGGAATAAATAGCCTATTCTATTACAGCTAACTATTTCCTCATCTATTTAGAAGTACAATTTGCAATTTTTTTTCGGCCGATGTCCATTGGTGCTTTAAGTTCGGACCTACTCTCGTTTACCCCGAAACGTTTTGAGAATGAAATTTCCATAAATGTCAACTTTGACCTCCAGCTATGCTTTATTTTATGAGGGAAAACGAAAGTGAATATGTTGGAAATGTAGAAAAATGGAGTCTTTGTAATACCATTTTATTAGTTCTGCAGTTACTTTTGAAATAAATAAGAATGGATAAAAATTACGGGGAGGTGTTTGCTTTATATGCCATTTCGCTGATGGGCCTTTCCTATATAGTAGTCTTTAGTACTAATAGGAAATAGTATTTTGAATAAAATCTTAACTACAAATAATACGTCTTTCTACTCTTCGTAATTTGGAGTCGTTTCCCCTACCAAAGACAGCTGATAACAATGCTGCTCTCTTGCACCATTCACAACCTATCGCTAACTCCTTCTCACGGTCACCATAGAAACACACACGCACACATAACATGGTGAAAATGTGATTTTGTAATAGCAGCTTGGATATTACATATATAAATAACTGTAGTCGTATAGGTTATATAACAAAGATACATTTTTTTTTAATTGTATTTAAGTCTGGTTAAATTAAGTTGAATGCCTTCTAAACTGTTAAACATTAACTTTATATATTTAAAATTGTGTTAATCATAAGGGATTATCTAACTGAGATTAAGTAATCATAAATTTCTCGATTAAAATTCATCATGATAAATTAGATTAATAATCAAATCAGGGACAAATATAATCTTAAATAGAATACACTCACTAGTGTAGTTATTCTTCGCATGTTGTCTGCATATCTTTACAGATTGGAGAAGCATTTCCTCAATCCCAGCTGGAAGTAACAATCAAGTCCACCAGTCTACCAGAAGTCAGTCTCAGTGATCAGCTATACTTGTCACTACTGGGTCAGGTGAACATATCGGCCAGGTTACCCAGTGGAGATTTAAAGTTTTTAATCTCTGCTAAAATGGTGAAGATACTTTTTCCCACTTTCCTTTTTTTTTTTTTCTTTCATGTAGAGTATATTTAGACATTCTTAAAATATTTGTTAATGTTTATAGAATAGGTACGTTGTTAAACAGATAGGGCCTGTAGGCCATACATTTCTGAGTTGTGTTGACATGGACATTGTTTTGGTCATGTTTCAGGCCCTGTCAATGTCTGGCAACGTCAACATTCAAAATAATTCGATTTCAGGAAATATTTATGACTTTAAGTAAGTAATTCTGGGAATTCACTTTTTTAAAATGTGTTCTGATTTTGTGTTTTGTTTTGGGTTGTTTTTTTTTTTTTTAGTAAAATGTTTTCTTAAACTTAATTTTAATTTTTCTTCTGCCAGGGTTAAGTTGGCTGACGTGACATCGAATATCAAAACTGTAACAGTAAGGTGCCTTTGTTCATTTAAAGCTTCAAATACATTTTAATGTTTTTGACAATGGTACTGCAAGCTACAAGTATACAGATGTATAGCTCTTGTTTTTTCTGATCTCGTTTTATTCTTTTTTTGTTCAGGTAAACCAGGTCACTGACTTTCTTGAGTCCGGTCTCAATATATTAGTTATTCCTGAGATTAAAGGTAATTAAATAAGTCTGTCTTAGCAAAGTTTTAAAAATCCTTTCATAAATTACTTAAGAATGGATTGTCAGTAGCTCTCTAACCAGTTTATTTTTCCCAACAAAATTGAGATATGTTTATCTACATCATTGTCGAGGCTGTTGTTATCATATATGTTTATCTACATCATTGTCGAGGCTGTTGTTATCATATGAATGTACATTCTAAATTACGTATCCCAAAGAAAACCAACATTAACAGTTAACACCAATTGAAGAAGTGTGTGTGGTTGAGTTTACAAGGTCTACAGCTTTTAGACGTGGTTAGACGTGAATGCTATTTACTCTGCAAGGAAGACAGATTCAATTTTAAACAAGCAAATTATTAAAAATCCTTAGAAAAAAAACTTATCTAAAGGGGAAGAACTCCGTCCTTAAAACTATATCAATAGTGTACAAGCTATTCCCCTTATTCGATATCAAACAAAATAATTAATTGACCAATTGGTGTTTTTAAAATTATTATTCATGTTTTGTTAGGTTCAGGTAGTTGATGAACTGATTTACTGAACATCTATATTTTACCTCTTAGGCTTTAAAGGACCAACTGACTGTTGTTACTGCATTGAGCAACTAAACACGAGATATGAAATCCCTAGTCTGATATCTTTTTTAAACGAGTCTACAAAAATTGTATTTTTATTTCCTGTGTAAAATCCAGCGCCAGAAGGAAAAGTGAATCCTTAGATTGAGATCAAAAGTTTCCTATACAAGTTATTTAAGTGTCTACCTATCGATTGAATTTCATCGTGGACTGTTTTTTTTTTCTAACTTTAAGACAAATTTTGAAATAATATATTCAAATGCTTAAAAGATGTCCATTATGTGCTTATTAGCATTAGAAGGTCATAGTTGAGAGATGTACACTTATTGATGAGAGAGAGAATACAGCCATGGTCTGGCAGTAGTAAATGTAGACATAGTATATATCTACAGCTCCAATCGTCCAATTAATCATTATTCAATATTCTTAACTTATAGAAAGAGACAATGATTAACTACAACTGTTTAATTCCTAATATTTAGCAATCGCCAAATCTGGCATTAAAGTTCCAGTTCTCACTGACTTGGTGTTAAAGAATCCTGAAGTTAAATTTGTGCAGGTGAGAAGCATGGAAGTCGGGGGAAGCAATGGAATTGTTTCATTTTCAAGTATTTGTAATTATGTAATTATTATAATGATATAAGAAACCGTATTTGCATTTCGATAGAAGTATTTCATCTAGTTAGTTGTAGAATTATTAAATAAGTTTGATTTTTTTTTCAATCACCTCAGAGCTGTTGAGAAACTAACATTCCCCCTTTCAGACCTTGCTATCCATAGGGCAGATGATGAAACACAGTTTACGATTATGTCATGTGGCCTGCACGATTTTCCGCCTAACTAATGTCAGGTGGACGCAGGGGGCGCCCTAAAGCCCGAAATTAAAAATCCCAGGATTCGAACCCTGGACACTCGTGAGCTGTCGAAAGCTAGCAGTTAATTAAGTTAGCCAATAGTGTAATCTTGGGTGTAGGCTACTGAAATACGACTTAAACATTTTTTTTTAAACCTACAGATTGCGATCCCCATTGATTTCATATTTCTTAGTGGTTTTTTGTTTTCTTTTTCAGGGTGCCATTGTACTGTCATCTGACGTCATCTATCAAAATATACAATAGTAAATATTTCTTGAAACGATTTGTTGATCTTGGGTATTTTAAAGCCTGATTTTTGTTTTCTGTTTGTTTTAGTTTGCCTTTTAAAAAGGAATTCGAGTTTGAAGAGATTGATTTTAATCTATTTTATATTTCGTAGAAAGTTGGAGACTGGAAATCTAGAACAAAGCGTCTAGGTGATAGATTGATTTTATTCCTATGGCGATGATTTTAAGACGATTAGATGAATTCGATAGATTGATTCGTCATGGGACATTGATTAGATCAAAGGTTCTCAAACTTTTATTGACCCGGGACCCCTTTTTTAATAGTCAAAACTTTCCCACGTAAAAAGATACACAAATACATAAGTGATGGTTTCTTGTATTTGAGAAGACATTCAATACAGCAAAGAATCCACGTTGTACTAAATAAGAAGACAGGAAAGCAGTCAACAACTTCTTGACAATAATCCCATAATGGAGGAATATGAATTGGAATAGATTTGTGTAATCAGAATGTGTGGTCTCCTAGTTCAAATGTTGGTTTGTGTTCCTCGTTTGTGGATATTTAAATAAGCTGCTCCTGCATTAATATGGGTTCATCTGTAATTGGGATTTGATTTTGTCTACAGGCAAAATGATTCAATATGCAGTCGGGAATATCCAAGTGAAGAATGTTTTCAAATCTTTGGTTTAGGTTGTCATAATAGAGTACGAAATAAATATGAAACAGTAACGAGGAGCGAATTGATTATTATTCAAAGTATCCGATCGAATAAACTGGCTTTTAGCGAAGAAGTTATTAGAACTACATACAATTTTTATCTTTCTTCATTGCATGAAACTCAATGAGATATGGTCGATCAAGAGATTTCATTGCACGAAACTCAAGGAGATATGGTCGATCTAGAGATTTCATTGCACGAAACTCTATGAGATGTGGTCGATCGAGAGATTTCATTGCACGAAACTCAATGAGATATGGTCGATCTAGATATTTCATTGCACGAAACTCAATGAGATATGGTCGATCGAGAGATTTCATTGCACGAAAGTCAATGAGATCTGGTCGATTAAGAGATTTCATTGCATGAAACTCAATGAGATGTGGTCGATCAAGAGATTTCATTGCACGAAACTCAATGAGATATGGTCGATCTAGACATTTCATTGCACGAAAGTCAATGAGATCTGGTCGATTAAGAGATTTCATTGCATGAAACTCAATGAGATGTGGTCGATCAAGAGATTTCATTGCACGAAACTCAATGAGAGGTGGTCGATCAAGAGATTTCATTGCATGAAACTCAATGAGATGTGGTCGATCTAGAGATTTCATTGCACGAAACTCAATGAGATATGGTCGATCTAGACATTTCATTGCACGAAACTCAATGAGATATGGTCGATCTAGACATTTCATTGCATGAAACTCAATGAGATTTGGTCGATCTAGAGATTTCATCAAATTCTCTTTGATATCTAATAACAAAAATTTTTGTCTCACGCTGGATTTCACAAGTACATGTACAAAAACACAAAGACTCAAAAAGTTGTCAATGAAAAAGAAATCGGAATAATTGTTGAAAAAAACTCGTAATTTCAAAATAGATAAATCTATGAATTTATTGATGGTTATTATATACACAAGTGATATGACACATTGGCCTCTTTCCCCAGCACTTCAAAGACCAAAAAGCGAGTAGAGCAAAAAGTGAAAACAAAAATCTGTTCAGATATTTTTTTTTTCACATAAAAGGAAATTGAAAACAAATTAGACAAACTCTCGAACATTCTTACTGCCAACCATTGAGACTTGGCTTGTGTTCTCTCATTCAGACACACTTTTCATAAATGCTTATCAATAATTTACACATTAAAAAAATATATGAAAGATCCCCAAGTTTCTAAAACCTAAAGCCTTACAAATATACAATCATTAACACTAGCCTAATTAGATACAAGAGTATTTGAAATCAACAGTTAAAATGGAACAATTAAATCTGGACAAAAGAAAGTAGCCCTCAGGGATTTAACTTTCTCTGATGGAAAGAAAACCAAACATACAAAAAATAACTTCCATTATTTAACCATGCTATTTAAAAAAAAGTGTTAAAGTGACAGCTCTACTGTCTTGTGATACCAATTCTTTGTGGGAACAAAAACTTAGGCTGAGAATAAATAGGTTGTTTGTTAATTTTTCAAAACATAAAATGAAATACAGAATAATAAAAGAATACAGTATAAATCAAATAGACATGTTATTTAAATTGGCATGACTTGTGTTAATTCTAGTCACTTTTGAAGATTTTAGCATCTCTAGCAACCAGTTTTTTGCTTCATGTAGACACAAGCTTCTGACAATCCTTCATAATTAATCCTTACTAGCCCCTGCACAAAAACGTAAGTTTCCAATGTGATGTCTGAAGTGCAAACACTAAGTAATTTGTTCAAATGAAAAGGAGCTCCGTAAATGTCTTAGTTGGTAACTTCATTTATACATTGGAAGGAACGAAAAATAAACACTTGATTAGTCCTACTGTAGCTATGACTGTGGCTAGAGATAATGGACACATAAAATCAAGGTTAAGTCAATTCAGTTCAGACAGGCTGCCAACTGAATTTCTCTACATAACTTCAAGTTTTTATGCACATCACTTTAAGTGCTTTTACACAAAACTTTAATATACACTTGATTTTTTTTATTAAAATAAATAGTTTACACAATTTTTAAAATATTTATACATTGGACAATTTTCTCTAAATATCAAGATCTCCACAAGACTTGAACTATAAAAAAAAAATGAACTTATATTTCTTGTTTATTTGATATACCTGTACTCTAAAAAATAGAAAATGGTAACTATATTACTTGGGGGGTGGGGGGGGGGGAAGAGTTAATGGTGCTAGTATTAAAACATATTAAATGATAATAAATGAAAGTGACAATGACAAGTCGACAAGTAGAACTAGTCAAAAGAATACATAATATTTAGTGATGTATATATATATATATATATATATATATATATATATATATATATATATATTGTTTTACTTGCATATCAACTGTAAGCATGAAACTTTTAAAAACATTTCTTCAAATATCAGCTCCAACGAAGGTAGAAACACACAAATGAAGGAAGGATTAAACAAACAAAAAAATCACTACATTCAATAAATGGCCAAGACAGCTCAGCATTTCTTTCATCAGTCAAATCTAGTCAGTGTTATTTTAAAGCTGATCTTTATCTTTTGTATTAACAAACACCAGACGAGAATTTCTTCTCATTCCATGTGAAAGTATGAAGCTATTGAAAAAACAAAAAACAAAAAAAAATAAGGAAAACTAAATGGTATCAACTTATAGGTTGTCCCTGCCTCACTGGCATAAACAATTCATATATGTTCTCTTTATATGAAATGCTGAAAAAAATAAAACAGCAACTAAAAACTGATCAACAGCTATTGTCACTGACCAATTTTCTGACACCAATGTCAGTAGTGGTGCTCAAGAAGAGAAAAAGAAGATATATACACCAATGAAATTATTCTTCTCTATTTATTGTTTCTATACTATACTTTTAAAAAAGGTACACTGGGTTGGGGAGCATAGAAGTAACACAAGAAACAAGTGGAGAGAAACTGATCACTACAAGAGGTATGCAGGTTTGTAAAGACTAAGGAAGAGTTGAAATAAAAATGGTATCAACAAAAGAATAGAAAATCCTCAAACCAAAGAGTTTCCTAGACATATCTGGGTTTTGAGAAACAATTGAATTGCATATGTTTTCATTGTTCTGAAGCACTTCACAACTACAGTACTTACACTTAAGGAACAAAAACAGATACAAAATATTCAAATATTATATACATACATTTTATCTTATACCCACGCACCTAAACAGGCTGCCCTGATTTGACATTCCTTTCTAGGCTTCAACATTACTGTTGCAGAAACGAACAAATGGATAATCTTAAAAATTAAAAACGAATAATAATGAGAACAAACAAAAAAAATGTTGCAAGTTATCTAAATAACAACATATTAAACACATAAAAAACATTTTAAAACATACAAATATTTTTTTTTTCTTTTTAGTGAACTCAATGCCATGGCTTTTTAATAAGAAAAGAAGTGCATTAATAAAAATGAACTATTTACAGGTGATAAAAGAAATAGTTTTATAGGAACATATTTAGTACCCAGAAACTCAGGGTTCTGGCATCAATTTGAGACATTGCCAGATATGAAAGGCTTGACATATAAATAAAAAAACAAGGCAGATAAAAATGACCTAACATCTACAGTGAACACAAAAAAATTGTTTTTATAAATAAGTAAAAAAAAAAAAAAATATCTTTTCAAATATAACAAATTTTGATTACTTTGTATGTGAGTCTTGTACAACCAGGAAACAGTGCACAATTAAATTTTAGGATTCCCCAACTGAAAAAATAACTTCACACTTGGTGGTAATGTGTTGATCAATAGATGGGGAAGGTTAGCATCTTTATAAAGGCATGAGGAAGATAAAATAGACCATTTCATCTGATTTAAGTCAGGCTCCAAACAAAGGCAACCAACACTTTTTTTTTTCCTTAGCTCGTAGCACTCTTTAACCATGCCAGTTAAGTCTTGCTATATAACAAGAGCACATGCTAAGTAGATCTGCTGGAGGAATTAAAAAGAAACAAACTTTAGTCCTGGAGGACAATGACACTTAAAGGAAAATAAAAATGAGTATTCTCTTAAAAGATGTTACTTCAAACCAGGGTCTAATCTGTTGCGTATTAACACCTGGCAAGTTTGGAGGGAAGGGATTCGCAAGTCAAGACTATATCAACAGTTGTTTCTTATTACAAGGGTGATGAAACATTAAACAAAATAGGACTATTAAAAATAAAGTATGAATTTAAAAAGAAAACAACAACAACAAATCTTGAAAATTAAACTAAATGATCACATTTCAAAAATGAAGAATATGAAAACACACACACACACATAAGAAAGGGTAGGCATAAATGTACTATTCAAAATATATATAAATTTTGTAACACAGATTCATACTGAGTCAGCACACAGCATAAAACAAAACAATTTTCCTACTATTGTATTATCACCCAACTAAATAAATTATTGCTGCCTTTCAAAAAGTAGTTTCAAACAAACATTAATGGCCAAAATAAAATAACAAATTCATGTCAGCCAAAATAAAATAACAAAGTTAATTCATGTCAGCCGAAAAAAAAAAAAATCAATCACATCAGTTCAACAAAACACACTTATGAAAATACATCTAGTAGTTTTTTTTTTAGACAAACAAAATAAAATTATTACACTGAACAAACTCTTTTTGTCCAAAACACTAAAAGTTAAGTTATACCACATTCAAGCAGAAATTATGTTTCAGCTTAATATAATTCATGTTAAAAATGTTCTTAAGGATAGAGAAATAAAAATGAGCTTGCAAGAGACATGGAAACAGCTTTCTGTTGGTGACAGCATCAAACAAACAAAAAGAGAGACAGAAGATTGTGTTAGCCAAACTCAAGCTTCTTTATGAAAACAAGCCAGTGAGAAAATTAAAACCTAAAGAAACCCAGCATATTTGGGTAACTATGAACTGAGAAACAAAAACAAACAGAATATAGATCAGATAATGAAATTGTAATTTTAACAGTAATATATTTGAAAACATTGATACCCATATTAGATGCCTAATGTGATCATATTAGAATCTTTGATTACCTTTTTATTTAGAAATAAAATAATAATATAATGTGTTTAAATACAGAATCTCTACAACCTCACATACAAAACACTGGGCAATTCATCAAGGATGGACAAAAGCATCAACAAACAACATTTTTACAAGGGAGAATCAGTTCTGTAGCATTCAACCTAATTAACCTAGCTTGCCTTCCATTCCAGAGTTTGAAAGTTGGGACAAAATCTGTCTAAACACAGGGTTTCTGCACCAAAGTCAATTTGAAATTCAAGGAGTTTTCCAGGACTTTTCCAGGAGAAATTTTAAAATTCCAGGACATAAAATTTGCGCAAAAATATTACATAACAATTGTCAAAGTTGATTATTATTATTGCTCATTAATCTTCGGACTCGAAGAGAAGCCTTATTATGTGTGTATATATATATACATGTAAGTCATCTTTTAATCTAGTAACAACTTGACTGTTATCCCAAAACCTCAAACAAACATTTTTCTTTTCAAAGATTTATTTAAGAACATTACAAATGTTTGCTATTCCATTTTTTTTAAAATAAGAAACATTCTTAGAGTTGCCTTCTCTATGGTGGAAACCCTTCTTTTTCAACTATGTAGTTTCCCTGTCTTTTACGACCGAAATAACTTTTACGGACTTTCACAGCTGTGTGCGAAATATTTTGCCTAAATATACAGTAGATCTAAAGTCTAAATCTAAGTCACAAAATTCGCGGACTTTTCACGGCTGTGAGTGAATTATCTTCACTAGATTCTATGATTTTGTGTATAATTTAGAGTCTAGATCTGAATTTAAGACACTAAAATTTGCGACTTTTCACGGCTGTGTGAGAATTATCTTCCCCTATCTACTGTAAATTTAGACTAGATCTTAGTCACTAAATCCGCGGATTTTTTGCGGCTGTGTGACAATTATCTTTCCTTAATCTACCGTAAATCTAGACTCTAGATCTAAGTCACTAAAAGTCGCGGACTTTTTACAGCTATGTTAGAATTATCTTCGCCGAATCTACCGTAAATCCAGACTCTAGATCTAATTTAAGTCACTAAAATTTGCGAGTTTTTCTAGGCTTCACTACATTCTAGAGCTAGTGGTTTAGCGTAAATCTAGAATCTAGCGTATTTCTAGAAAAATCTAGACATTAGATGTATCGAAATCATTAAATTGACTAAAATTCACGAAGTTTTCAAGTTAGGTGTGAATTATCTTCACTAGATCCAAATCGAGATACTATTTCTAGCTAGAGTCTGGATGATTTACGCAAAATCACTCAGTTACAAGATTTTAGGTGAGGGAGGGCCCTTCAGAAAAATAATCATTATAATGCCAGGTGAAATGCCCTTGCTTTTAGCCAAGGCCATCTTCAATCACGAGAACACGCTTCACAAGTGGGTGAAAGGCGGTGTAGACTCGTCACTGGTCAGCTTATTGACACAGCCAGCCCGTAAAAAGTTATGGAACGTAGTTTGGATGAATATCAACGTGCTCAGTTAAAAAGCGATCCGATAACGATACTAATCTATAAATAGATAAGATCTATCTATAGTCCAGGAGCAGTCAACACATTCTGCGCAAACTCGGTAATGCTCATTTCGAATCTATTTCCGCCGCGACGGCCCATCCGCAGCAACGGTGCCGAATTTTTTTAATACCTTTTTTTTTTTTCGATCGGCGAAATTCCAGGACATTCAAGGAGATATTTTAAAATTCCAGGACATTCAAGGAGATATTTTAAAATTCCAGGAGATTTCCAGGACTTTTTTATTTTTTCTGAAATTCCAGGAGAATTAAGGACATCCTTGAATTTCAGTAGTCAGATAAAGATTTTATTCAGATGTATATTTTATACTATTCACAATATGTTAATTTCAACAATGTACAAAGAAAATACCAATGAACTAATTAAAATTATAATACAGGTATATCTGAAAAGAAAAAAGGAACAATACTATCCCAGTTTCTTTCTTCATCTATGATGAATTTCACTGAACAGCTTACTTTGCCTGAGTAGCAAAACTCTGTTGACTATTTTCTTCTCTTGCACAGAAAACAAAAGATCTCATTAGCTGCACATTCATCATAACAAGAAATGATGATACTGTGTGGAGACATGCAATGCTTCATGATAAGTAGTTCACCAT